GGTGGGGATGTGGGGAGGGGGTTTCCCACCCCCCAAGCGGGCGCTGGGTCACTATACCCTGCCCCAGTTCTCTTGCTGTAATAATTTCAGCCTTGGCTTGTGGAGTGACTTTAATTAAAACCTTCATCTCCCATCCCTGTAATTTCCATCTCTCGCTGTTTGTATTGAGGGTTCAGATTAGAGACACATATAATATTTAATTGGTATAAATAATGCATTTTCATAGCTGAACCTTTCCTTAGCTGCATATTTGGTGCCAGAAACAGCGTTTTCCTTTCAAACAGGCTTTGCTTTGCGTGTTCCTTCCCTCGGCCGGAGCAGATCCCCCCTCAGAGGCCGGCGGCTGTGCGGGTTTGTGGCCATTTGAGTTCAGCTCTGCTGGTCCAGCGCACGTCGCAGCGGCTCAGGGACAGGGAGGTGGCCCAGACAAAGCTGGGTGGGGAGTGCTGGGGCCCTCTTTGATCTGAAACAGGAGCCGTTTGCCGACGGCTGAGGAGGGCTGTGCCTTTGGGGAGCACCACGTTCACCCCCCCAGCACAACCCCAGAGGCACATTCTGCCCTTGCTCGTCCCACTGCGGCGTTGCCTGGGGCTGGCAACAAAGCAGGGGAGATGGGGCTGTCCCTGGTCCCCTGTGCTGCAGCCATAACTCCCAGCAGGTCCCTGTGGGGTGCTGGAGCTGGCGACTAACCCTCCTTCTCCTATGCCCCCCCCTCCCCACTTTTGCCTTCATTGCAGGGAGCATAATGCTGAACAGCATCACTGATGGGCTCCTGTGCTGCCTGATGGGCAAGACGACGAACACTGTGGGGCCACTGGACAGTGTTGAGTCCAGCAACGGCTACAGCTTCATGGAGGTGAAACCGGGGAGAATCCTGCGGGTCCGGCACAGCACACCCAACCGCCCAGCCCCGGAGGGACCCGAGGAGACCCAGCCCGGGGGCCCGGAGCGGGGCACAGTGCACTGCAAGCGCAAAATCACCGTCTACCGCAACGGGCAGCTGGTGATCGAGAACCTGGGGGAGGCCGTCCGCTCCGAGATCCTGCACTGCCAGAATGGCTCGGGGGAACCCAACGGCACCATGGAGCTGGAGCTCCCCGATCCAGCTGGCCAAACCCCCGCCCAGGGTCCCGCCACCACGCCGGGCTGCGGCACGCGGGAAGCAACCGCTGCCCCCGGCAAGCGTCGGAAGCGTAAACCCAAGAAAGTCGTCAACATCGACTGCAAGAAGCAGATCACAAGCTGCAAAGGGACGCACAGCGACGTGGTCCTCTTCTTCATCCACGGCGTGGGTGGCTCGCTCGACATCTGGAAGGAGCAGCTGGACTTCTTTACCAAGCTGGGCTACGAAGTGGTGGCTCCCGACCTGGCAGGCCACGGCTGCAGCTCGGCTCCCCAGATTGCCGCCGCGTACACGTTCTACGCGCTGGCGGAGGACATGAGGGCTGTCTTCAAACGCTACGCGAAGAAGAGGAATATCCTGATAGGTCACTCATACGGGTAAGGGACCGGGGGATCCCAGGAGGGAAGAGGTGGATTCATCCCCCACATCATCTTCTCTTTGGCATTAAATGCCCAACAAATCCTGCACTTTGAGGGCTGAGAAGCAGAGGAGGGGTGTGGGATTTCCCATTCTGGGTTTATCCCTCAGCTCTGATCTCCTCCATCCTCTCAGGGTGTGTCCCTGGGCCCAGCTAATCCCAGAGCCCATCCTGCAGCCAGGAGCCTGGCACAGCACGGCCTATAAATAGAGTAAACCTGACCAAGTCAATTAGATAGCTACTAAGCAGTGAAGAGAGCAGCCCTGAGAGCAGAGGGAGGCAGAGCCGGGCTCCCAGCTGGGCAGGACTGGACCAGGACAAGGCTCTTCCAGGCTGGCAGGCACCCAAGCAGGTCCCAGCATCCTGCGTTGCTCTGCACAGGAGCAGAACCCCGAGCTCAGCCCCTCTGCTCAGGCTCTACAGGGCTGTGGGGTTTAACTGGGGTTACCCTGCCCCAAAAGGGGGGAGTCCAGGTCAAACTAAAGGGCTTGGCAATGCATCTTCGGAGTCTGCCTTGGGAAGCAGCACCCTCCGGTGCTCCCACGTCCGTCTCTCCCTACAGGGTGTCCTTCTGCACCTTCCTCGCCCACGAGTACCCAGACCTGGTCCATAAGGTGATTATGATCAACGGGGGGGGGCCAACAGCCCTGGAGCCCAGCCTCTGCTCCATCTTCAACATGCCCACCTGCGTCCTGCACTGCCTGTCCCCGTGCCTGGCCTGGAGCTTCCTCAAGTGAGTGGCCGTCCTGGCACCGAGGTGTTGGGGAGGGTTGTCCCCCGGCCAACCTGGCTGCCAGCCACCACGGGCAGGGACACCACGTCCTGCCAGCAGCGTCCCCCATGCTCCTGTCCCCCCGCTGCCGAGGCACCGCGCCGGGCTAATGCTGTTAACAAGCTCCAGGCCAAGAGGGAATGGCCTCAAGCTGCCCAGGGCAGGGTCAGGCTGGCTCTGAGGAAGGATTTCTGTGCAGAAGGGGCTGTTGGGCATTGGGATGGGCTGCCCAGGGCAGGGGGGGAGTCCCCGGGATCCCTGGAGGGGTTGAAGAGTCGGGCTGAGCCAGCGCTGAGGGATCTGGGGGAGTTGGGAAGGGTCAGGGGAAGGGTCATGGTGGGGCTGGAGGAGCTTCAAGGGCTTTTCCAACCAAGATCATTCTGTGTGCCTGTGCTGGCTCCATTCCACAGGGCTGGCTTTGCTCGCCAGGGTGCCAAAGAGAAGCAGTTGCTGAAGGAAGGCAACGCCTTCAACGTCTCCTCCTTCGTGCTGCGCGCCATGATGAGCGGGCAGTACTGGCCTGAGGGGGACGAGGTTTACCACGCGGAGCTGGCCGTGCCCGTGCTCCTGGTCCACGGCATGCATGACAAGTTCGTCCCGGTGGAGGAGGACCAGAGAATGGCCGAGGTACGGGACCGAGGGGGCTGGGGAAGAGGGTGGGCGAGGGATGGGGTCAGGCAGGGGGCTCGTCCCCACGCTGACGGCTGCTGTCATGTCCCTCCAGATCCTGCTGATCGCCTTCCTGAAGGTGATCGACGAGGGCAGCCACATGGTGATGATGGAGTGTCCTGAGACGGTCAACACGCTGCTCCACGAGTTCGTCCTGTGGGAGCCCGAGACGCCAGCTGGGGACGGGCAAGGGGAGAAGAAATAAGACAGCGGAACGTGGTGACCGGGCTGCTCCGATGGGAGAGATGTTTCAGAGTGGAGAGGGGTTTGCGAGAGCGGAGGGGCGCGGCGGAGGCTGCCCTCGCCGGGAGCTCAGCTGATTTTCTTTCCCGGCCGCATTGGAGGCTGGTGGCGGAGCACAGAGGCTCCCCCGGGCAGGGCTGTGCGAGGCCGGCAGCGGGAACACGGCAGACCTGGTCCCCGTCCCCTCGGGGACAGCGTGGCAGCTGCTGGAGCGTCTTCATCCTGTTTCTTTGTAATATTATTTTCCTCACACAGCGAACCCCACCCCCAGGGACGGAGAGGAGGCGGCTGTAGGGAGACTGGTCCCACGTGCAGCAAAGTGGGAAGAACTTGGAGGGGTTGCTCCCTGGAGAGCGCATCGGCTCCAGCACCGTCCTGGCCAGGGCCGGAGGAGATGAGCTGGGGTTGTTTTCAGTGAAGCCAAAGGCTCCTCAGCCTTGGGAGTGGGATTCGCCTCTCTGAGCCCCACAGCACCTCGCTTGAGCCGTTGGTGGGGCTGGGAGGACAGGACCCCCATGACTGCTCCTGACTGCGCAGCTCGTCTCTGCCTGGCCAGATGAGGATGAGGAGGTGACCTGCTCCTATGGGCACGACCAGAAGGCCCGTCAGCAGCTCCCCCGCCGTGGTGGGACCGGCGTGGCTGTGGCGGGGAGGATATCGCCAAACCTGAGCTCTCCCGTTGTCCCCCAGCGCTACCATCTGTGCAATCACGTCCCCAACCACCATCGCTTTAGGTCGGCTTCTGCAGAGCCCTCAGCTTCCCTCCTGCTGCCGCATCCTCGAGGGCTCGGAGCCATCACAGCAACTCCCAGCACGTCCCAGCCGCTCGCCCCTCCCAGCTCCCACCTCCCTCCGGGACCCACCACCCGCCAGGATCGCGCCCGTCCCCTCGTGCCCTGGGGGACCAGAACACACCGTCCCGTTGCTGCCGTGTCCGTCCTCGCCGGTGACTCCTGGACGGATCCGCGAGGTCTTGGGGCAACACAGGAGTGATGAAGCAAACCACAACCGTCGGATCGCAAGGGATGACGGCTCGTTACCTGCTGAGGCCGTTCTGTGTGTACCCCACCAGTCCCGTCACTTCCTCCCCTCTGCGCTTCACATCCCGCTGCCAGGAGCCGGGCAGAACCGAGGAGGTACATGACAAGTGTGGAGCGGGGACCTGGGCACCATCGTGGGGTCTGGGGGCTCCCAGCCACGCTGGGATGGGCGGGATGGTGAGCTCAGGGGGTGCCCCCATCCTCCCCGCTACCCCAAAGAGTGGAGCTGCTCCCTGCTTCGATTCCCTCTTATTTCCCCTCATCTAAACCAAAGAAACCACCAGTCCCACAAAAACCAAACTCTTGGCCCACGTCCCACCCAGCACCCTCCTCGCCCTGAACGGGGCCGGCACTGCCCTAAAGCATCCCAGGTTGGCTCGAGGGGGTCCCAGCTGGGCCCCCCACCTGCAACGCACCTTCCCCGAGGCTGAGCCCACCTTCCCTTGAGCGATGGAGAAGAGGAAGGGTCCTGCGGAGCCAGCCCCGGTGTGATGGGGACCCTGTGTGATGTGTCCCCCCCAGGCAGCCCCCCGGCTCCATCCCAGCGCTGGGGCAGAGCCTTCCCTCTGCCAGCGCGCCTGCCCCCGCCCGCTGCTGCCACAACCTGTCTCACAATGAGAATTTTAACAACCCTGGAGTTTCCACAAGCCTTCCCCCGCAACACCCCTTCCACCCCATCCCCGCAGCATGGCCGGGCTCTGCAAAGAGGGTACCCAGAAATACCACCAAAGTACCCCAAAACACAGCTCTGCCCCCACGGTCGGTTCCAGGCAACTGTCAGTGCCCGGCTGTGGGCCACCACAGCTCTTCAACCTCGTTTGCCACCGAGTCTGTGCCGCTTGTAGCCACATCGCTTGTGCCAAGGCCAAGGCAAAGCACCCACCAGAACCCCGCCGCCGAGCCACGCGCCGCGTTAGTGCCATTTCATACAGTAAAGCCGCGTTATATTCTCAGCCGCCTCCGACTCGATGGTGGGAAGAGATGCGCCGGGCACGGGGTCTGTCCTAGGAGCACGGCAAAGCCGGGGAGCGGAGCCCCAGAGCACAGGCACCTTGGGTTTCTTAGCAAAAAAAACCCAACCCTGCAGTGATTTATTTATCACCCTTTAGGAAATAGAAAAATAGAAAAATTCTCGCCAGTGTTCATGACATAAAACCCGCACCCAGAGCACAGCCACCTCCTCCACCCGGGCGTAGAGGGGAGGTGTGGGCAGGGGGTGTCCCCCAGCACCCCGGGGTGCTCAGCACCCGTTCTAGACGTCCCCTGGCCGGAGCTGCCGCTCGCCCTCAGCCAGGAAGATGCGCATGGCCCTGTGCAGCATGTGGACGCCCAGGCGCCGGCGCCGCTCCGCCGCC